GCCTAGGTTCGTGGCTCATCAGTAGAGCGTAGGATTGCCTTTGCTAGAAGTCTATCGGACTTTTTGTGATGTTGTTGACTGTGGAAACTAAGGAGTACATCACCCCTCCACTTTCCTTTATTTTTATTACAATTTTAAATTTACGTCTGTTAATTCTGCCTCACCGAACCCCTTTTTTTCACTCCACGTTATAGTGCTATTTTGCTTAGGGAGATGAGTACGCCAATATTCCCCAATAATGTAATCGTTCAGTCAAATAGGTATCGTTGTTGTGCATTGGTTGGGCTGTTTTAAATAATTGTAAGGTAACACGTTGGCGCCCAGTTCGAAGAACCGAACGGGTACTCACTTTTTTAAAAACTTTACCTTGCCTTTCACAACTGATTGTTGGTTTTGCATACGTCAACCTTTCTTGTCCTAATGTGCACACTCATCTCTGCCCGTTTAGTGAGCTCCAGTCTGCCAAAGCAAAAGTTGCTGACCTTCAGAACCAGCTCTCTTCGGCCGTGCTGCCAGCTTCGACAGAAGCCACAGCTTCTAAAGATACACAGGCTGCACCCGACCGGTCGCTCAAGGTGGTTGCATCTGATCAGCTAGTAGAAGAGCTCCAACAGCGACTAGCTAAAGAGGAAAAGGAGGCCTCGGCTGAGAGCGAGGAATGGACTAAACGTCTGCTACAGATGGTATACCCCCGTTTTGCACCTTCTTTCTTTTTGACAATACTTATTTTTATCGATAATATCTTCGGCAGTGCCCATTCCTTTGTTCTATTCATGGGAATAGTTTATATGAGAAGAAAGAGATTCGATCGCTGGGACAGCCTGTTTATTTGCCTGACGTTTCGACACCCGTCGCGGATCCTTCATCAGAGACATGGGCAGAAAGCAATAGCAGAAACGGATACCACATACACAGGAATTTGCAGTATTTATAGGATATACTCATTACTGCAAACGTATAATAACAATTAGCGGTAATTGCCCTCTTGTGCGTTGATATCTTGTTGACCGGCATGCGGGCTCTGACTTGCTGAGCTTTCATCACGCAAGGTGGACTCGGTCGTGGTGATTGCTCGGCCATGTGGCTCTCTGGTGTTGACGTAAGATGACGCGGTGGCCTGTGCGTTCCCCAAGTGGCGACTTTCTTTAGCCAAATTGAACCTCAGCACAGAATATGGATTGGGCAAATCGTTGCACTTATTTATGGATTGGGGGCCACGAACCATGACTAAAGTAATTCTCGTCTCACGCAATTGTCCCCCCTTGTGAAAATTTCGTCCTCATCAAATTTATATGTGGGGTGGGGTCTAGTCGCCTATATTAGCAATAGTGTTTATGTCTCCTCCTGCGAAGACAATCGACTAAAAGAGCCTCCTGCTGTAATACAGGTAGAATGACACACGCTACCTAACTAGAATACAAACGCTAACCCGAGTCCCAATCGTAACCATAGCTTTAGACCTTGCCCTAATTTCCCTGGAATCTAACTTAAACTCGCTTGTATTACGGAGTATTCATTTCGACCTGTCTTGTGGGAACAGGACGGGGAGGCGGTGGTGCACAAACACGATCCCTACCGTTTTATCATACTGTGAGTAAACCCATTGGGTAACCCTGTATAGGGAATGTTACCTTTATGATATTGCTGTTGAATCCATCGTGTGCTCACGGGTTGCGAATGTTGGAATGATTTCGGTCAGAGTTAGCTGTGCACCGCGTTATCTCTTGGGTCTACTGAATACGTGCTTGAAGGTCATTGCTTCTTGGGGAGTACATAGTGAACTCCGAGCGACGAGTTGCTGACAGCATTCTTCCGTGTCTGTCCTCGTTGCTCCAAGTGATTTAGAGACCAGGACTGGCATTCGAGAAGGGGATTGTGCTACTATTCGGTGCACAGCCGTTGTGTCTGTGATAAGAAACTTCCCTTTACTGAATCGATTGACATCTGAAATAATGGTTTCGGACATTATAGTCAAGTTGTCTGGTATTTCAATTAGTGGTGCACTCAAAATCAACTCCGCTGCACTAAGGTGCCTGAGCTCCAGATTTCAGCGCAGAAAGTGGTGCTGACACGACTGTCAAGCACGTTTTGATCATACTGTTTTCTAGGTGCACAGAGTGCATGCTATTGTGACGGGTCTACTACAGACGTATTACGTTGTCGTCTTCAGGGCTACTGCCAGTCCCATTGCATTTATTCTCCAACCGCCTCACCGCACTGAAACGGCTGGCAACCTTATTTAAGGCGCATTTGGTTTAAAACATCCTAGTGGATCTTAAGCACACCCTCGTAGATGTTAAGAAATAGCTTCAATGCCCGTCAGCTCGAGTATAAGTGTGCGCAGTAAACGTCTGAAAGGAATTGTTGTAAAAGAGGCGGCAAGATTAATAAAGGACTTTGCGATTTTTGCATTGGTTGTGGGCAACATTATGACGAACCGTTCGGTTCATCTAAGTGGTCCCTGGGATACTCGTGTGAGCACTGTGCCCACACTAATTTTCCCTGATCCTGACCACGTATTGTTAATGAAAGATATTGGCTCTGTAGAGCGAGTGAGAGGATGCTATGCAAGTCCTTCTTAGTAAGCGTACATTTATGCTCAGGTCACCACTTCCCCTAAAATGGTTGCGGTCCTCGTCGACTGACTACCAGAAGAATAGTACTGACAAAGACAAGGAAAACTGCGATGGCTATTTCTAGTTTATCAGCCGCCTGTTGCTGAGACGTCCGACGGTCTAATCCAATGAGCCGTATCGATCGGGAATAGTAACACTGGTGGATTAGCGCTCACCA